GGCGGCGGGCGCCAGGGCGGGGCCGGGCCCCGCGGTGGCGGCGGCCGCGGCGGCCGGCAGCCTGGTGCCCGCGGCGCGCCAGCAGCACTGCACGCAGGTGCGCAGCCGGCGGCTCATGAAGGAGCTGCAGGACATCGCGCGCCTCAGCGACCGCTTCATCTCCGTGGAGCTGGTGGACGAGAGCCTCTTCGACTGGAACGTGAAGCTGCACCAGGTGGACAAGGACTCGGTGCTGTGGCAGGACATGAAGGAGACCAACACCGAGTTCATCCTGCTCAACCTCACCTTCCCCGACAACTTCCCCTTCTCGCCGCCCTTCATGCGGGTGCTCAGCCCGCGCCTGGAGAACGGCTACGTGCTGGACGGCGGCGCCATCTGCATGGAGCTGCTCACGCCGCGCGGCTGGTCCAGCGCCTACACCGTGGAGGCCGTCATGCGCCAGTTCGCCGCCAGCCTGGTCAAGGGCCAGGTAAGCCCGCGGGCGCTGGGGGGCGCGGGGCGCACCGGCCGAGGTGGGGGCGAGAGCGAGGGCTGCCCAGCCACCCCAGCCTTCTCGCCCGGCCGGGCTCTGTCGGCACAGCCTCCGTCGGGGAGGTGCTCCCGGGCGCCTCCGCTGCTCTTCCCTGAGCGTGTCCGTCCTGTCCCCCCCCTCCCTCCTGTCGCTGCTAGTGTCTCTGGTCTCTCTGGCTCGTCCATTCCCTCCCTATCTCTCATCAAGTCTCTCTCTCACTCCCCCTCCTCTCCTCTCCCACTCCCATACGCTCCCCTCCCTTCGCCTTTCTCGTGGACCCCTTCTCCCCTTCACTCCGCCCTGCCTCCCTTCCCTCTCCCCCCTGCCTCCCTTCCCTCTCCCCCCACCCCTTTTCCTTCTTCCTTCCCCACAGTCCTGTCTTCCCGCTCTTCTCTCCCCCTTGTCGGTTTCTCAGTCTCCTGGCCCTGTAATCTCTATAAAGGTGGGAACTTTTTGTGGAGCCCGGAATCTAAGTGTCCAACCCAGCTTGTCCCCCGCCCCACCCCAGAAGGGTGTCCTGCACAGACAGCTGGGGGAGGGTCTGCAGGTGGGTGCCCCAGAGGCCGCTGCCTGCTGGTGGAGGGCTCCCTGGCTTCCCTCTTCTCAGCAACATCTCCTGGAAAGGTGAAGATTTTCCTCCTGAGAAATCTCTCTAGGGAGTCAGAGGTGTGGTTTGAGTGCTTCCTTAAGTGACAAGACCAGACTCCATCGAGGAAATGCTGTTCTCCCTGGTGGGCACCCCTTCCTGCCTGGTACCAGCCCTTGCCCAGGACCACCACCTCCGGGCTAGATGTTGCAGCCTCAGTCTCTCTCAGATCTTGTTTCTTCCTTTTGTTTCCTCACCCCACCCCCAGCAGTTAAATCCTTTATCAGGCTTAAAGATTTTAATGAAATTCTGAAATAGGGGCGAGCAGGTCACATGTCTCCTCACCTATTGCACCAGATGGCAGCTTTACCGCAAGGAAACCCCAGAGGACTTGAGAGCCAGGCGGCAGGGAGTCTTCTGAGACAGGGCCACTGGCTGCGGCCAAGGCATGGTGGTGCCGTCTGCCCCGTCACACGCTCTTGACCATGTTCGAGTTCTCTGGGCTGTCCCCAAATCACTATTAAACATTATTTAATAAAATCGTATTGTTATATGGGTGTCTTAGATTTACGAAAAATCATTGTTTTCTTTAAAAGACCCTGAATGACCTCAGCTTGATCTTTCCCCAGGCAGCCTATCGGAAGCCCCTGTCTCTGTCCCCTTCCCTGCAGGATCTTTCACAGGAATCAAATAAGGCTTGTTCTGCCAATTTCACTAGAGGTGGAACCCCTGGGATTCCAAACAAATAGCATCCTAACTCCAGCAGAGAACGGCACTTAATTCTTGAGCCTTCCTGCTAGTCTCATCTTTTCTAGGGTTTAAGTCCTGCATATTTCTTGAGCTGGGAATAGTCTGCCTGCAATGGCTCTAGAAAAACGTCTTCAGCTGAGAAAGGTTGCGTGCTTTAACATCAGAGGTTCATCCCTCATCCTACAGTTCCGTGTTGGCTCGGATGCAAGGTGCATGTGGTTGAATACAAGCCACCGGGTGGGGGAGGGGAGCAATTTCAGTTTGTTTTTCAAACAGGATTTGTACAAATGGTGTGGAAGAATATTCCACAGAAATGCCTCTGCTGTTTGTTTCTGAAATCATTGCTAATCGGAACTCTTTGGAACAGTCTGTTTCTGTTTTTCATTCTTCACAGTGAAGATGACTTTGGGGATCAGGGAAGAGGAATGTCGTGTTGCCTTATAGATTCACAGCATCAGAACATTTTTGACTTGGAAGAGATATTAGAGGTCATCTGGACCACACTATTTTAAAAGATGCAAGAAAATAAAGCTTTCTGATGAGAAATGAGGAAGGTTTAAAAAAAAAAAGAGAGAGAGGTCAGGAAATTAAACGTTTTCCATTTTTATATGAATGCCATAATAATAATAGTTCCACTGGTGCCCTTATACATCTATTAAAATAGACAGGTCCTTGTGTGTATATTCCTTTTCTTTGTAATCAAACTTGAGAGGCTTGCATACAGTTTGCAAGTTAGAGACTTCATTATTGTAAACAATTATACACGTTTTTATTTCTTAATTTGATAAAATTATAATTGAATTCAATGCCCTCCACCCAGGATATTGTGTTATATTATCTATACAGTATTAGAAATGAAGGTAAAAACTCAGCACTTTTTAAAATCCAGTTCAGTTTCTTTCATTTTCTGTGCTGGTTCCAACACACAGCTCTCTGAGAGAGTAATGTACGGTACACATAAAATATTCAAATGCAGTGAAAGAACTGAAGGAATGAATAGTCATTAATGTTTTAGGATTCTGTGCATGGAAGAATTCTGCTAGTGTTTCAGGTAACCTGAGCATTACTGGGCCTTGGCACACTTTTATGAATTCACTACTTACAGGTCGTTCAGACCCCATACAGTAGTTACCAAATTATTTCCATAGTTAAAGGTAATATGCTTTGGGAAAGCAATCAAAATACCTGATTATGTATTCAAAGAGAACTGGGACTGCTACAAAAACCAATGATTACTTTAAAGGAAAGAGCTGTTATGTTCCAGTTATGTTCCTCCGTTTGGGGTTTCTCATTTAGGACTCATTTTCTTAAGCTACAAAGTTAGAAAAGGCTGGTTTGCGTCTTTCATAGAGGAAAACATTCACTGCTCAGCTTTACTTTCTGAACTGAGGATATACTGTCCCTATACCTTTAGAGAAATCAGGAGCTTCATGCGTAATATTATAAAAAAATCTGCTTAAAAATTTTGTGTAAAAAATAAAAAGTTTGGGTTTATGACATGATATGATAAATTCAGTCATTTCATGAGGCTTTTACCTGACTGAATATCTGGCCCATGTTATCAAAATCTCTTGCATCTTGCTTTATGAATGGTAGTTGTTTTAAATTAAATTAATATAGAAGTTTCTTATATGATACAGTCTATGTAGAAATAGTGACATTTGTCCATTATTAAACCCTCTTTTGACTAAATAGAGACATTTTAGGTAACCCTTTTAGTTCTCTACAAATCGGATCAAAAATTTCTGTACTTTTAAAATGAACTCATGAAAATGCTAAAAGTATACTTCTAGATAATTATGTGCCTCCTTTATCGTTTACTCAACCAAAGAACACAATCCATCGCTCCTGTGTCGGAGTTTTGACATTCCAAAGCTGTAAGGTTTTGATCTGAAACCGAAGTAGACTGCAATGCCAGCACAGTGCTTGCACCTGGTAGACAGCTTGACCTACAAACACTGCATTTTCAGATTCTGGAAACCTAAACAAACTAGCACTGGGGTTGGAGGGCCCTGGCTGTGGAGGGCCTTGGAATTCCCTGGCTTCTACTCCAGGCTCAGAGCACGAGACACTGGCATGACTGGCGGGGACCCTGTTCTTGCAGCTGTGTGAGCAGCAAAGTCCCAGAAAACCAACTGATATGCACTGACTCAGGTTCTACTTTCGCTTCGGCTCACCTCCTGAGCGACCCCTTTTTAATTAATTAGACATCGCCAGGAGCAGGGAACCAGATGGCAGTTGAATGAGAGTTCCTCACTCCTCACCTGTCCCCTCAGAGCCAACAATATGATTCGTCATGAAAACAACGTTAATAATGATAGCAGCAGCGAACATTTCCCATTTGCTTGTGCCAAACTCCAGACAGCTAAGAAGGTAGGATTTAGGGACCCTTCTTGGTTCCCCTCTTTTGATGGTCATTGTACAGGTGAGGAAACCATGGCTCCACAAAATCGAGTGGAGCAAAGACAGCTTCATGCAGCTTCACGTGGTCGTAAAAGCTGATGAGTGGCAAGGCTCTGGAAACTGGTCAGCAGTGTGAAAGCTGTCAGGCATGGCAAAGTCAAGGCGGGCACCATCAAAGCACCTTCCTGTTTCCAGGCGGTCGTTTATTAATTGTGACCTTTGAGATGATCGTTTATGTCCACAGAGAAAAGATACACAGCCAGCCCTCAGCAGAAGATTCTCAGAACATCAGGACTAAAACATCCTCCAGTCTAAGTATTTGGATTAAAAATTGGTAAGCAATTCCAGAACACTTTTGTGTGCCTAATGGTGCTAGTTTCTGGGATTTTTTTTAAACAAAGGATACTGGCAGATGCCATTTGTATGAGCATGGTGAAATCATGAAGGCTCTGCAGCTCAGCTTTATTCAGTGATATCACGCATCACTGAAGATCCACTTTAGGGCTTAAAGGGGTCTACGCCACGGCGTCACTGAGAAGCGCAAGTGCGTGCACACGCGCAGACGTAAGTGAAGCCCATCTTCAGAACCTCTTCCAAAGTGCTAGGCCTAGAAACAGCATTTCACTTATGACTGTAAATGTGCCAGGTCTCATCAGAAAGAAGGGCAAAGATGAACAGCCCTTTGGGCTCCTGAAATCTTGGGCTTTCAACGTACTGGAGCTGACAGAATTTTCAAAGCCCTGTGTTTTGTTGCTAGGGCTGCCATCACAGAGTACCTGGAAGTCCAAGATCAAGGTGTTGGCAGGGCTGGTTTCTGTAGATGGCTGTCTCCTCCTCCCTGTGTCCTCACGTGGCCGTCCCTCTGTGTGTGTCTGTGTCCTAATCTCTTCCTTTAAGGACACCGTCCTAGCGGATCAGGGCCCGCCCTCATGTCCTCATGTTAACTGGATTATCTCTTAAAGACCCCATCTCCAAACAAGGTCACGTTCTGAGATACTGAGGGTTTGGGGTCCAGCATGTAGCTTGGGGTGGAGGAGACACATTTCAGCCTCTAGGTGCCCAACAGGAATATATTACCAGTTCCACATCCTGTGTCTCCAGCGAGTGTTCCTGGTTTGAAAAGAATCGTAGATAAAGGGAGGCACAGGATGGCAAATCTTGGGTAGCGCCGTCTGATTCGTCCAGAGAGATGTGGATTTGGGGTAGTGCTCCTAGGAGT